CATGGGTTCTCGATCGTTTTAGTGCAGATTTCATAATTTCCTGCAGTCAAAACATTTTGGGCTGATCTCTGCAGGCAGGCAGGCGTATGCAGCAGGCTCCCTGCTCCTGGTGCTGCTCCCCAGCAGGAAATACCTGCACCCAGTGCCAGCCTCTGGTGACCCCTCAGCAGCTTCTTGTGACTGCTCGGTTTTCTGCAGCTGGTATTCTTAGGAGCATCCTCACTTCTTCCCCAGAAAAAAACACATTCCTTGTATCCCATTTTCAGTTGGAGTCCAGTAAATCTTGCAGAGCAACAATTTCACAGCTGGTGCCTCCCTGATTGTGTCAAAATTTTAGCAAATATTTTAGCAGTGACTATTTTCCTCAGCCATTGCACTGGGGCGCACTCCCCATGTCAAGCAGGAATATAAGCCATGGGTGACCTTAGGGCATGAGCTGCTGTGATCCAGCCACTGCTCAAACACTTGAGGATGAGGTGCCCAGGCATGGCCTTGGGACAGAACAGACTTGGCAAGGCCAGGGGAGTGGAGAAGACATAAACTTCAGGGAGCCAGAAGAAAATAGCCAGAAGAAAGTAAAGATGCCATCCCTCGCCTGCAGAGGCCTCAAGAGATTGCCAAATCTCAGCATTGTGAATAAACCCTGAGTGACAGCTTATCCCTCTTCTGGAGCAAAGGCCTTGTTGTGGTTATAGAGGTTCAAAGCACAGGATTTTAGACACTGTGACACAACGTAATTTCTTTTTCTATTACAGGGCGAGCCAGCTTTTGGGAGGAATCAGAAGTGTGTAGAAAGGATTGCCTCACATATTATTTAAGTTGATGGAAATGCCTGACTGCAGAGGTGGGCTTAATTTTTCAATTAATCCAGCAGCATTCTAGGGAAAGGGCTTCTCTGCTGCTGTGAAATTCCCATGTGATGGTAGGCAAGTTGTGAGAACGAGCATTTCCAGACACGATCACCATTTCCAAGGAACTGACTCGATTCTTATGGTTCTTGTTTCAGGAATGACAATTACACAAAACCTGCTTGCAATTATGCTTCGGATGCATGTAAGCAAATGCTGAAATACAAAATAAGCAAGTGCAGGGCATTATATTGAGGATCCAAATGTGTGGCTGCTTCACAGTGCTGCCCTTCCATGCTGCAGGTCCACAGAAGGGCAGACTGATTAACAACTGCTTACAAACTTGCAACGCTGTGAAAATAAGTAATCATTTCACAAAGGAGACATTAAAATGAGAACTAGAGAGAAATGAGGACATTCATCCCTCATCAGGATGGGCTTTGGACTTTGAGCATATGCATATACACAGTGAACACATAGGAAACATGATAAAAAATGAGTAGTTACTCAGTGGGGGTTCCAGCAAAAAAATACTGAGCAATCATGTAATTAAAGCAACTGTAATTGAGGAATTTCCTAATTTCAGGGTACTTAACTATGCCTCTTTAATATTCCTTTCATACAGTATTTTGCAGTACTTAACACACCAAGTTCTACCTCCAGTGTCTCCCACCCCCAATTTTTGGAATCTGGGAGAAAGATTCATACTAATTGATTCAGAGTCCTGGAGAACAAAGAACTGATACACCACATTTGGTTTGTATGCAATTGCTAAAATACAAATGAAACAGACACACCAGTTTTGAAAATTTTTATGGAAGCAGTTATTCTCCTCCTGGAGATTGTTACAGGAAAATGGCATAGGATTTTGGCAAGACTCACTCATGTATTACACATATACAGGATCTAACACATTGAGTCTTGTCTCCAGGTATGCCTATACTACAAAAAAACATTTGAGACATGTTCCTTGCAAAACTTAAATCTCTCATTTTCTTTAATGCCCAAACTTGGTTTGTTTACTCTTGTAGTGTCATAAATTGTGGACTTAGTTGTAGGCTATGTTTTCCTTCCTCTCCCACCCACCCTTCCTGAAAAGTGCTTGTAAATAGGTTAGACACCCATGAAATTGAAGGTACACTTTTACTGTATTTTTTTAAAGAAAACCCTGCAAATGCCCCCCGCTTCCCCAGAAACCACTAACACACAGTTTAGGATTACCTATTTATTTCAGTTAAAACAAACATACAATGTTTCATTGAAACTGTGTTGCACTCCCTGCCAACAACTGTAGCTAGAGCGTTGGCCTCTAACGATACAGTGGCTATTTACATATGTACACGGATGTACCGTAGGACGCCTGAATTTGATGGCCTAACAAATGCGTTAGATTGTAAAAATTGTTAAGTTGCTGCATTCAGGAAATCGTAACATCCATGGTAAATTTTAGAGGAAAAGTATACATGAACCTGAACTATGCTTTTTATGGACCCAAGTGACTGCCGTGTTTATTGCAACATATACATTTGTAATAAATACAGACTTAGTGTTTTTTTACACACCTTAGGTGTAACACATTTCTTCCATTTCTGTAAGCGTTACATTTTGTTGTAAAAGAATCTTTCCTTTGACAGTTGTTATACAGATGTACAACATGAACAACTCCTTGAAATGATGTAACAATCAGTAATGAGAGAGGAATATATACATAAGTCCCGGATTCCAAACCTACATTATATACATTATACTTACAGTATATACACACATACAATTTATGTACATAGACTATCATAAATATTGAAAAATAGGTTTAGTTTTAATGGATTAATGTTTTATAAATAACATGTTACATTTATGACTGAAATATCATGGAAGACAGTAATGTCTAACTGAGGTGACAAAACAGTGGTTTAATACTGAAGCTGCTCTTTTAGGTGGTTTGCAACGTAGGTAACCTTAAGCAGACAGGTTTGGGAACAAAAATAACTAAATAAATCATCTGTTGGAAATCAACCCAGCCAAGTGGAACTCAACTGTAGCAGGTGGAAAGCCAGCCATCAAATAATAGAACACATAATGTAAAATCTGGAAATTGCTACATTCAGAGAATTAAGTGACATTTATGATATATTATGAGGTGTCATCACAAAAGTCTTCCTCCTCTCTGGCTGCTGAGAAGGACCATAGAGTAATTTCTCATTTACACCTCCTTCCTCTTCTATGGTTACTGAGAAAAAGGAGGCTATTTCTCACTTTTCTTTCTTTTCAAATGCTGACAAGGGAAGTGCTTCATCCCTTATGTGCTACAAATTGCTCAAAGGTAGACAACATTTAAATCCTCTTCCACCTTTCTGTGTTTGCGGAGAGGAAGAAGAAAAGCTGCCAAAGTACTGAGGAGGCACATGCCCAGCACTTCTGTGGAAATCAGGTAACATGGGGTAGTTGGCCATGGATGTGCAGTACCTGAGGCAGAGAAGTACCTAAGGAGTGTTTGTCAGTGCTGACTCCAGGATTGTTAATTGCCAGTTGAGTACCACCAAACTAGTAATACAACACCACAAGAGGAATCTAACTTCTCATTACAGTTTTACACTACAGACTTAGTGACCAGTACTTACAGTCATGCAGAAGTATCAATACAAAATACCTGCAATTTTTTTCATAGATTTTAAATGGCTGGGCAGAGATTGACTTTATCTGCCAAACAGTGACTACCATTTAGATTTGTTCCTGATTAATTCTACAAGAGCAAAAAAAGTCTCAGGCACTGTTTAATCAATGGATTACAGGCCCTTACTTGTTCCCTCTGACACAATGACCAAGTGGAACCTTGTAAATCAGATTCTTAAAACATCGTGTCAGATGAAGACAATTGACCACACTGCCATGATTATTTCATTAATCATCTTTATCTAGGCTTTTGTACCCAGTATTGTGGTGTCTGAGAACCTCTTACAAGCCAAGTACGCTGTTATACAAGTGTAATATCTCTTCAACCTGGGATAAGAATGAAAGAGTAAACATGCACTAGAAACAAAACAGCTAATCACAACCATAAAGCACCTGTTTCATCAGCTAGCTAGCTAGGGCTCATAAGGATCTTACCTATTTCTGAAGCAAACAAGTATGAGATGACTATCCAGTCTATGAGGTTATCTTTAATACTACTATACAGTATAAATTGGAAGAGGAATCCCAGTAGCGTATATGAAGAGTTTGTACCAAGCATGAAATACTGGTGCAGTTTTTTTGTGGATCTGACTCAGAAACAGAATAGTCAAGTAATTCAAAATCCAATAATGGATGAGTAATTTGAGAAATACTGTACACTTTTTGAATATTATACAACTAGTAAACTATATTAGGACTTTTTTTTTTCCTACAGAGTGTTTCATGGTAGATTGGACTGGAAAAAAACCCCGAACAACCCAACAAACATTGCTACAACCAACAATGGACCTTTATCAATAAAGAGAACTCCAGGAGGGAGTTTTGTGTTAATGGCATGATATGCTCCAGTGCCATTCAGTTCGTATCTACAACAGAAAAAAAAAAAATCTCAAAAAAAGCAAAAACCCCCAAACCCTGTTCTGCCCAACTGCACTATTGAGTACCTCAAGAAGGGAAATGTCAATGCCATCTTTATGGTTTCTAGATTAGCTAAGTTTTTCACAAACATACCCATTCTAAAGAGTATGTTTTTTTAAAGCTTCAAAATTTGGGTTTCCACACCATTTTAGGGAACTAAGGTAACTGTAGCTACTCAAGCAAGCTGACAATTGATTTTCAGGACTATTTTCACTCTACTTTGAACTAAGTGAATTTCATGGGAAGCATTTATAATTAGAGAGTTTTGACTTGAATTGGTTCATTTTCTGTTTTGGTCATTACAAGTATTTTTTAAAATAAAATGTCTTCTAATTGTGCCTCTACAGAAAGGCAAACTACATTTAATTTAGGACACTGATTAAATATTTTACAAGCTCTTCTATGTTATTCTTTCATTCTTTTTAGAAAAATGTTTCTTAAAGTCAAAATAGTGCTTTTGAGGTCCATAAGAATTTTTGGTACAAAAAATAATAGTGTTTCTCTCTCTCTCATTGGTTATTTAAACACTTTGCTGTAAATTAAAGAGTTATTTCTCACATCAAATGGTTCCATTAGGCACATTCAAGTAAAATAACAAAATATCCAAGTAACAATGACAAAAGCCAAACATGGCTTGATAAAAGTCTACAGAGAGTTCTGTCCATTCTCTGGAATGGAATAAAGTTGTCACTTCCTTCAGCCAGACACTCACGTGGTTTGATGTCAATATCCACTTCCATCATGCAGAATAGTTTCTTAAAGACAGAGTTCAGGTATTCTACAATCAGAAGAACCATCAATAAAGAATCTGCATTTTAAAGGAAGCCGAATAGCTCATTTTCATTCTCAGTAGGTATCTGAGTGAACACCAGCATTTGAAGTGGAGTATTAGAGATTAAGCCAGACAGTTAATGGCCATCAGATGGAACATTCTGGGTCCAGTCTAGAATGATCAGTGTCATACACCCAGTCATCACAAGTATACCACTTAGGAAGAAGAACGCAGCCTGAAAAAAGAAAACATAAAAAGTGTCTCAGTTTCTGCTACTATACCCATAAAATCATGCACATTTACGGCACAAGTGCCATTGCTCATGGAGAACAAAGTAAAAGAGACAAGAGATCGCACTAAATAAGAAATTAGGCAACTTTCTTATACTTGGGATACTTTTTCAAATAAAAAGGTATTATTTATTTCAGTATAGCAGACCTCACCCCCAGCTGAGGAAAGTTAATGTAGCTGTTGATACCAGCCAGGATGTGCCACTGCATTGATTTATTCCAATTAGTATGCCTAAGATTTTATTCCAAGTCAGTATGTCGAAAACCAGTAAGAGTACCAAGATCAGTAAGGATAACCCAAATGACTGGGGGAGATCAGCTTTTCTGAACTGGCAAGCAAGTGCAACTATTACATATTTGTCTATACATACCCCAATCTTTTGCACTGACTTCATTGGTTCCTTCTTCACTAATTTGATGTAGAAGGCAGAAGGAAGTATAAAGATCAGCATGGCAGCTGCAGATGCACCTGTATTTAAAAAGCATAGAAATAAATATTTATCAACAGGTAAATATAATTAAAATAGATTGGAAATGCACTTTCCGAGACTTCAAAGACTACCTAAACTTGCATCAAAATGCTTACCGATGAATCCAAAGATGTCTCGAATAGTAGGGACAAAGATAACGAGCACGTTGGTAAACCCCAGAAGAGCAACTGTAATGGCACAGTGAAAGAGCAACTGTGATGGCACAGTGACGCCACCAGTTGAACTCTGTCCCTGCCCACAACAGTTGGGTAATGGAACTGCGGATCTTTTGAAGAGAAGAAAAAACAAGAACAAAAACCATGTTTAGTCTTGTTGTGGAAGTCTGTGACTGTCACCTAAACTAGACGTTCCTTCTGAAAGTATTTTAACACAGTTTTCCTTAACACTTCAGATTTTAACAGAAGTTGAAAAGCATGAAAGTAATTTTTAGGAATATTTACTTCCTCCACTTCCACACAGCTCTGTGTTTCTGGTCTGTTTCTCTTTTTGGTGATTTAGATTTTCAAAGCACAGGCAGTAACAGAGAAAACACAAGGAAAACCATCTATGTTTAACAAAAATAAACCCCAGGGTATTTTGTAACATCTAAGGACACTGTTCAACAATACACACCTAAATGGCCAGAATTCACATTCACAACGTACTTACAAAACCACACTGACTTCTGTAAGCCGATTATACAAGTACTTGCACTGTTGTATTAAGGGGCAATCTGTTCCAGTCCCCACTTAAACCATACCAGGAAAATAATATAACTGAATGTACTGGTATCTACTGCTTTGTAAATGTTGCCTACTTAATTTATTTGAATTATCAGTATAGAGATATTTCATCAAGCTTATTAGAATAAATCTCCTTTTTCAGTTAAGAGAAAACTGCTGTACATTAATAAATGGGATTTGCCAAATCAGTAAATGACTGCAGCAGGATAGGTGATGAAAATAAATATGGTAGTAAGATTACAAAAATAAATTACTTACTGGGAAAATAACTACAGGTACAGTGAGGGTTACAGCCATAAGTACAGCGAGACGCACAATAAGAAGAAGAACATCAGCACCCAGATAAGCAGAGTAGGTATGTAGCAGCTCTGGCTCAACTCTTCCTGTAAAGAAAACAGTATTTTAATTAGATCTAGCTGACATACTTCTCAGAAAACTACTTCTGCTCTAAAAATCCTGAGTGAATTTTACAGTTACAGAAATATGAATTGAAAGCCTCAACAGCTCCTCTAAGTATCTCTCCATTTTACACAGGGATAACCTGGAGGCACTGGATCTGTTTTAATCCTGTGCCTTGGGCCTAATTCTACTACCGATCTTCTGGGTGTGCACTTACAAATATATTAGAAAAACAAATGAACAGCGTGTATTTAGAACCCACAGTAAATCCTTGCTTATTCTAAACTAAAAAAGTAATACCGTGGTTTTGCAGAACAGAATTCATTTACAGGAAAGCAGTGAAGGGAATACTCACCATAAAATGTCAGGTATCCAAAGAGAGCAGCCAATAAATACATGAGGAACATGGCAAAAAAAGACACATAGGACACATTCATCATTCTTTTACGGCTTCGGCTGTAAGAAAGAAAAAGAAACATTATTAGCAATGAGAACATATTGATTTACACTACTTTTGTTTGTCCAGTGAAATTACAGACACGCATCTAACATTTACCTTTTCAGTTCTTCATAGATAGGAAGAATTGCAGGATGGCAGACAAAAGAAAATGTTAGGATTGGGACAGCATAGACAGTCTGAAAAACAAAAATATGTTTCTTAAGTATCTCAACAGACATAAGAAAAGTATTTTTAAAGATTTCATCAGCAGATATTTGAGATTTGACTTAGGTACCAACTATTCTGAAACTCTGGCAAAAAATAAAGCAACAATTTCATACTTTCTTAAACTCAGACCCTGAGGTACCAAATACTCTCAAATATCACTGAAGTCCACGCTGAGCTGAATGTACTTGCATTCAGAATTATAGTCTGCATCTCATAGGCTTAAGGCCATTGCTCTATCCCAGCAAAACCAGAACAGCCATTACAGCCCGATCTTGTTATTGGCTATCACACATACTTCTCTCCCATGTGTGAACATTCACCACTGCAACTGGGAGCACTCAAGAGAGTCAAGACTTTTGAAAAAGTCTATTCCAAACTTTAGCATACATTTCCCATTTGCGTGCTTTTACTATTTACTTCATATTCTCTTTCTTCAATCTACTTTTTAAAGTGCTTTACTAATTTACATGAACAGAACTTGAGAAAACTTGAGAACTGCTGTGCTGAAGAATGAGAGACGAGTTTATTGCCGCTCATCTCGGGCAGGCACCTCAAGCTCCTCTAATTTCTGTGCATTTGGAGCACGGAAACCCAGTTTACAGGAGGGAAACAGTGCCTAGCTCTACTGGGACAGAAAGTCTTAGTGCATCCCAAGTTTACAATTGGGCAGTTACTTGAAAGGAAGACCAAACTTATCTGCTATCTGTTAAGTCTTTCTCACTTATTTTCAGCAGGGAGTCCGAGTTTTAGTTAGTTACCTGTGAATTGAAGATGAAATATTTTGGCTTGCACACATCATCCCTCGTTATGTTTTCATTTATCAAAGGTGCCAATGTCACATTTATTAATGTCATGTTCATGGCATCCATAGGACAAGGAATCTGAAACATCTTCCAAATTACCTAGAAACAAAGACATGTATTTACTGTTACTTTGACTAATGCAGTATGTGAAGTTTTTCAGAAATTGCATTTAATTTCACTCTGAAATGCAGTTTTACAAGACTACACTTACCACAATCAGGAAGAAAACCATACACAGCAAGGAAAAGCCACTCGTATAGCCCAAATACCCTGTGTTCAAGAAACATAAGAAAATGTAAGATACAATAAACAGAAACACTATTCATGTCACAACATTATGACAGAACATATTCTGTCAGTGATTTCTTTAGGTTATCATTTTCTTAGTCTTACACAGCAGAAGTTAATTACCCCTTAACTTTCTGCTAATCAAAACCCAGATCTGAAAGTTCCCGAAGACATATTAGGGTCTGTACATACAGCCTGTGATATTAAACTCTGTAACTTAACATCCTCCCCTGAACAAAAAGCCCACACTAACAACTATGTGAACTGTTTATTATATATTAAGAATGATCATAGAATTAATTCTAATAGAATGTACTCTGAGATAACTTAGCTTCTTCCCTTCTGTTTTTATTGATTCACTTGAACTGTAGAAAGTAGTACCCTGAGGAAGTAATTCACATTGAGACTCTCAGTTAGCAAGGTTCCACTACAAGATTCTCTGAACAAATAACTGTTAATTAAATTGTTCATATAGATCACTGAATTACAGCGATTTTGGATAAAGCATCTGGCATGAATATTCTGCTACTGTGATCTAAAATTTAAAAGGTGACTTCTATTTACATTGCAAAGACAATTTAACTGCCCAGGGGTAGCATCCCTATTCTTTTGAAACTGTTATAGGATAGCTAATAACAATATGATGCTATCTCACTACTGACCAGGATAGGTCAAACTTTGTAATATGACCACAAAACAGAAAGTTATTGTTGAGCCTTGTTCTAAAGCTACCCTGTCTACTGTCCCTTTGTTTTCCACAAACACACCTGCAACTTAAGATACTTCTCTTGATCTGATTTTTTTTCTTTTTTTTTCCAGTAGACTGACAGCGATTACCTATCCACTAATTAGTCCCAAGAGACAAGCTTGGAGACAGCTGTTAATTCACATAGTATTACAAGACACACTACCAGCTCATTTCCCCACAGTAGTTTCAATGCATTTCTATTTTGATTTATCAACTGCTTACCTAAATTTTTCAGTAATGACAGGGGAAGAATAAGGATGAGAGACACCAGCAGCACTAAATAGTCACCATTAAGATACCATTCTCTGTAGGAAAAAAAAAAAGGTAATATATGTAAGTAACCAAAACATTTTAAAATTATGGAATCTGCAGTTTACTCTTCACTCTTATCTTCTCCTACAACATATGACTTCTTAAAAAAAATGTAGTACCAGCTGCCACAAAGCATTAGCATTCAACTTACTATATGGACCTAAAGCCCTACAGTACCTTCTTATCTCACCCCAAACCTGCATTGTGCCTTTCCTTTAGTGTCCCTTTCTAAAATTAATATGCAACTGAAAGTCAGAAGACAGGAAAGTAAATGACTTGTCAGAAAAATGTCAACTGATATCAAATATGGAAAAATAGTAATTTGCTTAAATGCTGGTTCCCAGCTCTCTAGATATCTTAAAATACTGCAGGACCCCAGCAGGGTGGTGATCCACTTCTAATGGAAATACAATTCTGTTGGGTATCCTGTGGGAGTTAAAGAAAAACAGGTGAGGGCTGGAGTTCAGGCAGTAGCTCAAGCCCACTGGCTGAGAAAACTCCACCAAGCACTGAGAGTCTCTTGGAGGCATGTTTAGTCCCTTTCAGTAGGGAAACTACGATAAGAACCTCAGAAGAGTTTTTTCCTTCAGATAATTTTTGTCATTTATTCCATAAGCAGCAGTTATTCTTTGACAAAACATTTTGGAGTGACAGAAAAACAAAGTTGTATCTGTGTAAACAGAATGCAATTTCACTGAACTAACAGAAAAACTCATACTGAGTATTTAATTGTGGCAGAGTAACCGCTTTTTCATCTGTTCCACAGGATTATCCTACATGCTTTAAGAAATTAAAGTGGCACTAGGCATTTATTCCCAAATACTAATATTTCATATCCCATCTATTAACATTTTAAAATGGATTGTATGCTATTTAGGCAAAAAAAGGAAAAAAATAAATTACTTAATTAGAAATTTGTGCATTCAAACACAATTGCTGAATTATAAGCCTACATGATAGAGGAAATGTTGAGTAACTTTAAGAGACTTGCTCTGGATTTATGTAGCAAATCCAAAAACAATTTGGTTATCTTCTTCCCCAGTTTTATCTGGGATAACTAAATGAAAAAAAAGTATTTCAGAAAGTTCAGATGTGTAGAATATCAACATCATGTACCTTTTGTTGTCTTTTTTAAAAAAAATGTAGTAGTCTTGTAGTAAATTTAAAAGAAATCAGAGCACAGGGACTCCTTGCATTTGATGCAGTCATAATAGTGTGCACTGTTATTATGCACACCCCACACGGAGGCTATCAGGACTTTCAGATCAAGGACTTAAGAGGTTTTTCTGTGCTGAAGAGTAAAGAATGGGATTGTACAGCTTCAAAATACTTTTAAATTTTAAAAGCTTTTAAAAATTGCTAAATGGATTTTAATAATGGAGCTAGTACTTGTAATAGTCTCAAAATTCCAGAATATCTTCTACAGTAAGGATTATCTTGGGACATAACAGGGAAGTGCTTACATTTTAGGCATCAAGCTGCCAGAGTGGAATCCATGCCAATGGCAGCCACCCAGACTCCCCTAAGCAATGCATGGAGAGAGTCAGTTAAACGGGGTCCACAACTGTCAGAGCACTGAGAAGAAAATTTACTTTAGATCAGCATACAGCTACCTAGTACCAGCCAACAAGAAAACACTTAAGATACAAATCTCAATTTCTCAATTCTCTCTGCCAAGTACTGCAGAGCACCAACTGTATCCAGTGAGATTCACAGTCCTTAACTTTCCCTCAAACTGTCACCGATTTTGAATTCTTCTCTGAAGACGGGACAGTTAAAAATACTTGCCTCCAAGCCCCCTTGCAAGTACTGGTTATGCCAGGGACTTTCTTAAGTAGAAAATAAATATTTGAATTCAGCCAAAGGAGGGAAACAAGCCTTTCCAGTGAACAATTTGTAAACATTACACTATTAAGTAAATAGAGTGGGTGCATTCTTCAAGTACATAGAAGAAGAAAAAAAAAAGGAAAAAGAAAAGATGGCTAGTGCTGTTGTCATGACAATATCAGCAAGCTGTATGAACACCACCAAATGGCTTGAACCCCTTGGGCAACACAGGCAGAAAAATGCCTACCTTCTGAACTCAGGCTTAGGTGTAAGTTGGAGTCTTGAGCTGCTCAGCCCTCTCAAGACTGGGACACTTCAGGACAAGGCACAGAAGTACAACTCTGAAGAGTGAGATTTATAGCACTTAACTCTATCCATCTGAAGTCAGGCATCTTATTTAAGACAGCTGTTTTTACACTCCCTCTCAATACAGAGTGATAAGATATATCGCTCTCTGGAGATGCCTGAAACAGGTGTCTAAGCCAGACCACACTACAAAGAACCACTTTTCTCCACTGATTATACAAAAACCAGAGTAAAGACGAACTCAAAAATCTAACTTTCAGACAATATGTTTAGATAAAATAAACTCTACCCAAGACACTCACTGTTAAAGCCAAGCAGGAAAGCCACTATGGAGTCAAGATATCTCCAGGGCTAAATGGCAATCCATCTGTCATTTTAATCTTGGGTATGTAACTTCTGGTTTAGTTCAATGTTTAGTTACCATGTATTTTTGAGAAGTGTTCCTTAAGACATTCATTACATAACTGCACCTTATTCTTATATTTAATCACTTCCCACAATATTAGCACTAGAAAACCAAAATAACCAGTCCAAACCAGTTGGAACACAGTAAGAAAAAAAAGAAAACAACCACATCCACATTTACCTTTTCTTATCAAGAGTATGTACTGACTGGTACATACATTAACACTTACCTGATGTTCTTTAGAGAACACTGTAATATGATGCGATACCTGTATTTTTCTACACTTTTCCCAGGACAGGCTGGATCTAAATGAAGTGGAGCACTCAGGGGAAGGGCAAACTTACTGTATCTCTGTCTGAGTAAGAAGCTACCCTATGGTGTATCGAACGTGGTCTTCATATAAAAATATATACAGTCTCCGTATTTGTTTCTCCTAATAGTTTCTCTGATGAGGAGTTCTAACACCTACCCTGTGGTCTCTTCGATGTTCATAAATGTCTTGATGACCAATGGTAACTCATATTTCACTATGAAGAGGTAGCTTGACATAGCTGTAGGTGAATAACATCATAGATCATTACAAATATAGAATATGTCACAAGATGCAAGAATCACATAACATGTTTCATAACTTCACTTGAACACAAGCAGTTCATGAACACATGTTGTGTGAAAAAAAGTCTCCAAGAATAAGTAGGGAACAATTACTATTGAGAGTACAGATATTTTAAGATCTTGTCCTCACCTCCAATGTTCTGCATTGTAATTGATCCAGAAGCAGCAAGTTTTCCAGCCATACCAAATGCCTTCATTCCCAACTGTTCATACAACAAAGATCCTAAAAGAAAACAAAATAATCCATTGGAAGGGTGTGTTTTACAAAGATATCATATGGAAAAAGTACCGTATGTTTTTAAAATAGTAATTTGCATACCTCCTTCATTAGCAGTCTTCAAAAGGAGATGCACTGAATACAAAGAAAATATTGAGACAACCAGCAGGAGTATCCTGAGGGGAGAAAAAAAAAAAAAGCACATTTTTAATAGCCATAAATGACTTGTTGTAACCTTAATAAAAGTAGATCAAACATAAAAATTAATCACATTAAAATATGATCTGGAAAAAAACTGCAGATTCTAAGGTCAGCTAAAAGCATTCTGAAAACTCAATGCCTAGTTTAGAAAGGATTTTATACTAACATACATTTCATTGGCACACTGAAAAATCCTGGCCTAGGATTAAGCAACACTTAGATTCAGTATAAGGTGGCATAAGCACAGGCAAGTGTCAGGCCACTATAACTGGCAACATTTGATATAAAAAACAAAGTATCTATGGGAATCTTTTTTGTATCACTGTAAGAAACTATTTCTCCTGTCTTCCTATCCTTGTTCAACAGTGTGTCATGCACCTATTGAACAACCAGTTGTGACCAAGGGTAGCTCAAGCGAAGATTATCTGTAAGCCTGAAACAAATCAGCTTTGTAGCTTAATCCTGTGTTACATCTTTTTTTATGTAAAGATGAAACTGCAAAAGCCTTAAAGAATTTACTGAAAATTCAGAGGTATTGAGAGCTGTGTCTCAAATGGAAATATGTATTTATTGTCAATTAAAAAAACCCACAAAAAAACAACCACACAAAATCAACCAAAAATACTTTCTTTGCTCAAAAGTTACTCTTCACATGTGCTTACATGGGAATCGCTTGTTTATCTTCCCCACTGCTTTTGCACGTAATACATATTATTTCCAGAAGCACATTTGCAACATCTAAAATTCGGATCTCTCAACAACCAATCTCTCCCACAGCAAATGCACTTCCTGGAGTGGCACGCTAGGGGGGACTTCTCAGCTGCTGAAGAACACAGTGGAAAATTACAACGCATTCAGAAAAAAAACTGGCCTCTTACACCAATACAAGCATTCTGCTTTATAGGAAAGCTAAGAATCAATACAAGTGCTGAAAAATGGCAAGCTCCGCTCAGAGCTCCCAGAGTACATTTCCTTTCGTGTCATTTTTAACATTGTTGAAATTAGTAAACAGAGCACAAAGAACTGGACACACGAATATCTGAGAAAAGCTTCACAGATCTGAACAAGGAATCCAGGAAACTTGCGTTACTGAGCAAATTCAACACCAACACACACACACAAATAAACCTCTATTTCTGACACGTAGAGGTTACCCAGGATTTAATTCAGCCATCAACTAGAAACAGCACAGTGAGACATGCAAGTGCTACATTTAATTAAAACAGCACAGATGCTGGACCCCTCAGTCCTAACCTCAAATGGCTGTTGACAAGATCAGTCAGCAAATTGATTTCGAAGCTCATTTAGTTCTTGGCTTCCAGTCTGTATCATTCATTTATTTAGTGCTGACACAAGTGACAAGTCACAGCACTGACTCAAGTGACTCCACAGAGTCTTCGAAGAATTTACTGCCTTAATCAACTGCATCTGGATCTGAATTTGTAACCTAGTTATTAAAGGATGTCTGTAATGTCAGTGTTATCATAAATCCTCAGTATCATCAGTGATTGCTTCCCTGCCTTGGAACTATACAAGCTACACTAAGTTTTGAAAGGCAACAAGCTAGTCTGTCTTTGAAACAGTACTAACACAAACAGATCTGAATGCAGCATCTGGAAATGAAAGGTAATTGAACAACCTCAGCACCTAAGTGTTAAATTCACATTTTTGAACATCTTTTTAAACATCTTTCTCTTCAGATGCAAATCTGTTCAAATACAGAACCTTAAATTCTTCTCTTTCCTTGCCTCAGAGATGTTCATCACAATGTGCATCACATTGATTATCTTGTATGTGCTACAGAACATCTTTAGAGCATGAAACTGATGTGTAGAGAGATGAAGTATCTATCTTTTCTGAATTCATGCTGCTAAGTTGTTCATTCAGTCTAGCATAATCTCAGTAAATTGAAAGTCTTAGCAAAAAATTAACTAATCACCATGTATTTACAACAAATTCCTTCAGATCAAAACTTCACACATTGGTAGTTTCCTCGGGAAACTGGAACACACTGAAATATCTGTAAGTACTCTGACCTATAACTTTCTGGAAATCTGGCAACAGAGTAAGGTGAATTTTGAACTAGATGTTACTCTTTGCTTGTCCTTGGAACACTCAGTACATGTATCTATTTTCAGGATAAAATACCAAGTTTCATTAAACCTACCTATCAATTCCAATTCCCATGCAGTCACCGTTACTACGTGTTGTGCGAGTTGAACTGCCTCCAATATATAAGAGATGTACTTTCCCAAGACATGTAGAAGCACTGTGTATTATTGTTTCCTCATGCCATCTCCAATTACATTACTACAGTCCTGTCTTATACCTGAAACCTTTTGCCAATGTGGACAATATTTTAAAAGCAGACACGGCCAGACTTGCAAGAGGCAAATAAAACAACCCTCTTCCACCTACATTTTTCTCCCAACTCTCTACAGTCTGATCCTGTACTTGTTGTGAAATTATGACTTTCACTAATTGAAAAGTCTCTGTTGTCACTAATTTCAATCGGTGAACTCAGAAGGAAAAAGCTAATACAGACTTCAGTCTCTTAAGCAGAGCCTCTCTTTACCACATGGATAACAGAATTTTAAAGGGAAGTCTATCAGTTATTAATGGAGAAACTACAGCTAAGTAAAGGAAAATTCACTCCAAGATGTTTTGGGGGTTGCAGAACCTGCAAGGGATCTGCTTATTTTTTGCAAGTCCTTCTGAATGCATTGGAATCTCTTAATTTAAAAGAAGCCATAAATCCTTAAATGCAACTGTGTACCTACGGCAATGACTGTGTATTTGGTAAAGGTCATAGTCTTACATCAAGTATTCTTTCCATTATTAATTACACAGCAGAAAGATTTTTTTTTTTGATGAATCAAAAGATACTTACACAAAAAGAGCAATTCCAGTGTTAGCCATGGCATAAGAAAGACCAAGGATGCCACTACCCACAATAGCATTGCTCAGATTAAATACTGACATTCCAAAGGAAGTAGTACCCGGATGCTGAGAAAAGGGAAATAGGCAGTAATTAATAGTAAGTCATTATTTATTCCAGAATTAAAAACAAACAGAAATTTGGCAAGAAAGCTTTTTTTATTATTATTTTTTTGAAATGCCATTGCTATGTACTTACATACTGAGTTTCATATTTCTTCTTTCCAAGATTGGAGTCGAGCAAGAAATTTTGATTCTCTGGATCAATATCCGCATAGTGGCTGTAAAAAAACATTGCATCATTAGTGACGACCACGGGCACCTTGCCTATTCACTTCCCGTTTAGCACTTCCAATCCACTCCGAAGGGAAAAACACTGGAACGACCCAAAAAGAAGACACCCCTCCAACACCTGCCCAGTACACAAAGCACTGTGCAATGTTTACGTCTGCAGCCCCTTCCACGTGTGTGTCACCTCCAGACCCGAGGCGGCATTTTTGGGGGCCGAGTGCCCGCCCTCCCGGGCGGCAGATCTCCCTCACCTCTTCATGGCAGCCGGCTTGGTGGGGTAAGGGTAGGCGAAGTCGTTGCTGTTGGAGCTGTAACTGCTGCTGTCCTCGTCGGGAGAGATGTTGAACTTGCCCATCTCGGCGCTGCTCATGGCGGCGGTGGCGGCACGGGGGGCCG